GAATCATTACTGTTTATTGAGGAAATGAGTTTAAAAGATTAAATTAAGGTTCAAAATTTTAGCGTTGGAATTTCATTCCCGTGATCAGTGAAAACCTTATAGAACAACTTTATGGAATTTATAATTTACTGAAGCTTTACAAATTTTATATAAAAATGATGACACAAGCATATTATTACTAAATGATTGTCATCAAATAAGACCTTCATTTACTTCAACGGGAAGTTATACTGAACAATTTAGTTGTATCATGATGTAATATGTTATACAGTGCAGTAGTTTTAATGTGATTTTCAATAAACAATACAACTTTAAACAATTTAGTTTTAAAATTTATGTCCAACCAGTATCACGGTATTATATACTGCTTTATTTATTTTTTTTTTTAATTATTATCTAGCAAATGATCTAACCGATCTTATTCATTGAGTAGGATTTCTTCTGTAATTTTTTACAATTTTTCTTAGTTTTTTTATCGAATACAGTAAAAAAATCCATATTTTGCGTGTGGTGATTCAAAATTCCAATTCTGGTTTTAATGTATTTTGCATTCAATGCATGTAATACAAAATATATAAACGTTATTTGTATTTATTTTTGAAATACTAAAATGTTTAAGTTAGTTTGTAAGCAAAAACCTGCTGAAATGAGGTATGTCTGTACATATTTTTCAGACTATCTTTAAAACTAAACGCCAAAAAAACTGGTATAAAAACTATGAATCTAAGTTTGGTGACAGTACTTAGAACACAGCTTTTACTGTGTTCAATGTTGATTTTCGAGAAAACAAAATGGTGTGGGAGAAACCAACCTGTACCAAAGACGAAATGCCACAATAACGAACGGAGCATTTATGAGAATCGAACTCACTAGTCAGTAAAAAATCTGTCAGACACATTTTTTTATTCGTTACCCAAAGGTAGATATTTACTTTACTAAGATCCCCTTGACCTGGTAGACATAGGCTACCAATTAAAGATAGAATTCAATATAATGGTATATTTCCCTACAGATTACCCTCCGAAAATTTACTCTAGATTTTGATTAATACAGTTTACGATCACCATAAGAGCAAGACACTGTTAGGATCAAACTACATGAAATACCAAATATTCCTTGGCAGTAAATATCGTTTTATATTCTTTAATACAACAAATGGTCCATTATATGCCGAAAAATAGTGGCATTTAATAAGACATACGAAGTCTATCCGGAAGGCATCCTGCCATTTTAAATGTTTTAATAAGTTGATTGCCAATGAGAACAAACCCTACTCCGAATGCAACAACAGAAATTCTGCCGTGTGGTTGCTCAGTTGGATATGTGACGACAATTAGTGAGTTTTTGGACTGTGTTAGGGTTCCATTTACAATGACTGAGAAAGCGTATCCTTTATGCAGAATTTCTTTGTTTTCTTGTTTTTTTCTTTCTTTTTTTTTTGACAAATTATCACGTGACCTTGGTCTGTCGGCATTATCCCCTCTTCTGCCCTGATTTCCCTCTTTGGAAGTTCTGGTATTTTCCTCTAAAATCACCTTTGATATAGTATGAATTAGATAAAGGTGTAAACAACGTGGCAGCTTATGGCGATCCCGAAAGAGAACTTTCCAGAAGTATACTGAAAATTTGAAAGAACGTTGGTATAAATTTATGAAATCCCAATCATTACTCTACATAGAAATTTAGTTTTTTGTTAGCATTAAATGGCTGGGGATTTCCTGAAAAGAACACGAGTACAACAAAAGAAAAGAAAATGCAACAATTTTGTTATTTTCATAAGTTCAGTTACTCACATTGTAAACGGATGTTCATTCTTGACGTTGTCTTTCACCTGCTTCCGGTTCAATTTCAATGGACAGCTTAATCGCTCATGGCAACATTGATGAACGGCTTTGTCTCCCTGATTACCGCACCATTTAGAAGCTGTCAGAAACAGTTTAAAAAGGATTTATTTATGTATGCAAAAGACTTTTTAAAACTTGTTAGCATCATCCTTGTTTAAAACGCCATTAGAAAATATATTTTGGTGTCTAAGATTCTCATACTACAGTGTAACCCGGATATAAGAGAGTTGTCGGGACCGGAGAAGAAGTCTCTTATATCCGGGTTTCCCTTATATCCGGGTTTGGTCTATTTTATATACATTAACACAGGCTCTAATTTGGGACCAGAGAAAATCTCTCTTATATCCGGGTTTCTCTTATATCCGGGTCTCTTATATCCGGGTTACACTGTAATAAAACTCTGGGAAATAATCCAGTTAAAATGGTAAGAAAATGTGTTAAAGCCTGATCATTTTATTTACTCAGTAAAAAAAAAAAATGTTTTATCTTATCTGTCTTAAATATTAATGCAAAATCTTCTCATCTCACTGTGATGATATAAAATGGTAGCAGGACGTATTCGGATGGAAAGTTCTGGTTGGCTGTTTCGTTGAGAGAAACCAGGATGTGCTGCACTTTATATTGGGTGTTTAATTCTTGCAATCAGTTGTCAAATATATTTGGAGGTTTTCACTGTAGTCCAAAAATAAATTGTGATAAAATTTCCTTGACAATGCAATGATATTATCCTTAGATAGATAGATAGATAGATAGATAGATAGATAGATAGATAGATAGATAGATAGATAATGTAGAGACCGGATTTTGATAGACAGATAGATAGATAGATAGATAGATAGATAGATAGATAGATAGATAGATAGATAGCTGTGTGTGTCTGTATGTGCGCGCGTGTGTAATCTCTAAGGAGTGATTGAAATTTGAGTGCCCTTTTCAAAGCTAAATTAATAACTCACTTCGCGCCAGAGAGACTTTATCTTCCTGAAGGGTTTATCTTTATCACCTATTCAATAAAAAATAAAAAGTAACGAAATTTACTAATTCTTGCCTAAAGTTTCCGGGATGTCATTCAGTGATGGGTTAAAAAGTTTCAGAATCTTAGCTTAGTAGGTGTTAGTATTAAATTAAGAAGGTCGCTCTAAACTGTTAGCCTGTAGTATATATATATATATATATATATATATATATATATATATATATTATAATATTTTTGTTTAAAAATATGAAATATGATTCCTTCGCTACATAAGAGCCGAAACCATTCAAATAATTATCGTTTTTGAAACATGAGAACTCTTATGTAGCAAAGGAATCATATTTTTAAACAAAAATATTATAATATAAGCTCTACTTCTGTATGGAGCCCTGTCTTCTTAAAAATAAAAACAAAAATACTAAGAACTCCGGATTATGCACCCAACGTGCTTTTTTCTATTTTCTGCATACCTGGGCACTTATATATATATATATATATATATATATATATATATATATATATATATATATATATATATATATAAGTTGTAGCCTCTGTCTGTCTGTATGTTATCTAACTCCTCCTAGCGTCTTGAAGATAGACCCCATAACCATATATATTCTGAAATTAGTTTACACAGGGTACTTAAATAAGTAGATTTCATTTTGATCAAAAGGAGTACACGGGTGATCCCCTCACCTACTGAAAAAAAGTTACCATTTGATTAAAATTAAAATTTCAACAAGGGATTGACTCCTAGGATACTTGGATATGTAGATTTCATCTTGATCAAAGGGAGTATCCGGGAAGGCCTAAACACTTAATTCATTTTTTCCCTTTGATTTAAATTAAATTTACATTTGAACAAGTCAATAACTCCTATCCAAAATATGGAGGAAGAAAACCAGAAGACGGAGGTCACATCGGCAAGATCAAAGGAGAAAATATGGACGTCAATTTGAGTAGGAAATCACCAATCAGTGGTTAGTGCCTTACAATACATATTCGCTGCGACAATTCAACTGCCATATCAACGTTTAAATCTGCTCATCAATTCAGTCACGTATTGTGTCAAATACATATCAATGGGGTCAGATCGCGTTGTTTTTGTGCAATGCCTCCACTGAAATTATTTCCCTCTTATTTAAATCAAATTAAAATTTGAACAAGGGAATGACTGCTATAGGAGGAGAAAGCCAGAAGATGGAGATCATATTGGCAAGATCATAGATATTTAAATGCATCATTTTTCTCCACACGATATAACAATGATTTAAAATCAATCATCAATTTCTAACAAAAAATGTGTGATACGCAGCAAGGCGCGAGTAATTTCGCTAGTATAGATAGATAGATAGATAGATAGATAGATAGATAGATAGATAGATAGAAAAAAATCATGTACATAGATAATATATGCATATACATGTTTTATGCGTGTAATCATATTTCTATCTATCAACAGAGATAGATAGATAGATAGATAGATAGATAGATATAGAAACAGGCTTAGATAGATAGATAGATAGATAGATAGATAGATAGATAGATAGATAGATAGATAGATGGTATTTGAGAGAATTGAGATAGATAGATAGATAGATAGATAGATGAATATTGAGTAGAAATGAGATAGATAGATAGATAGATAGATAGATAGATAGATATTGAGTAGAATTGAGATAGATAGATAGATAGATAGATATTGAGTAGAATTGAGATAGATAGATAGATAGATAGATAGATAGATAGATAGATAGATATTGAGTAGAATTGAGATAGATAGATAGATAGATAGATAGATAGATAGATAGATAGATAGATAGAAACAGACTTAGAAAAATAGTTGTACAAATATTGACATGAGATTTGAAATATAAAATGTAAAAAAGGATAAAAACAAAGACAAAAAAAGAATAAATTGAAAATTTAAAATAATTAGAAAATGAAGGAAATTTTTAATGAAAAAGTCAGGACGGAAAGCACCAACGAAGGAGAAATGATGAAAAAATAAAAGAACTTTTACTTCACTTGCTGAATTTACTTGCGTTTTAATCATACATTTTTTACTGTTGGGGTGGGGGGTGTTCATTTTTACTTTGATATATTTTTCCTTGATTCATGTATTCATTGATGCAACGGTTAGAAATTTATTTTCTCTCCACAAGTGCCCTTTGTTTATGACTTTTGTCTGTTATTGGTTGGACCAGCATTTTATATTTTCTTCTCTTGATCAAGGTTCGTTCAACTTTGTCTATATCTTTTTGTAAATTTAACACCAGGCGTGTCTGGTGGAGAATGTGTGGGTAACGAATCTGTCATCAGCGCATTAAGCGAAACCGGCTAGTTTAGTTCAAGATCTTTCCTAGCCTGCTGCATTTACTTCGCACGAATGCCCTTGGAAAAAAACACAAAGACATTTCTACACCTTCTAGCGACGAGTTAAATTGTAAGGTAAACAGCTATTAGGTTGGTGCAAAAATAATGACGTAATAATGTCGTTTTTTGACGTAATTTTAACGTCAAAAAACGACATTATGACGTCATTATTTTTGCACCAACCTAATAATATTGGCTTACAATCAGAAAATTGAATTTATAGAACATTATTCTTCACGTTTTAGCATCAGCAGAGTTAAACGGCATTCACTCGGCCTTGTCGGCGGCGAATTATTTCCCATCCTACGACCCCTCTCACACAGATGCAGGCCTCTTGGAAAACGAGCCGACGAACTGCATTCTAGTTCCAACAGTTAAGGCATTTACAACTAAACCCTTGTGCAAATTAATTGAAACATAACGAATAATTCCTTTGTTATTTACTTTTTTCGTATTTTTCCAATGTAACATGACTCAGTGCTCATGTTAGTATTTCGTATGTCCATTCCACGAAGTCGTTCCTTGCAGACAGACTACAGATTCTATACTGGATTTAAACCAGGAGAGTCTATAGTATTTTGATTTGCTCACTAGTAAGGCTTGCCTGTGTGTTCGTGCAACGTTACAATTTTTGTACGCTTCTTTGGTGTAACGTCCATTGCAGACAATGACTATAGGACAACTAATCGACTGTCGAAACAATAGTGTCTGTGCGTGGTGAAAATCTGATGTAATCACGGATGACGCAATATTTTTCAAGGCCAAACAAATTTCATCATACACCCCTAAAATAGATTCAGATTAATGCAAACCACTGCAAATGACGTAATCTGGGGAAAAAAATAGAAATCGGTTACACCCTGTTATTCCAGTGGGTCTAAAATTGACCATCTGGTGAAAGAAAGGATAAAAGGTGGTTGTTTCAATTAATTTCCAGAGGGGTGGACGACCCGTCATGCCATATGCAGTGTGCAGCCAACCTCATTCCCTTCGTATTCTATTGATAAGAATGAAGTTCTATTCAGACAACTTCTTCCCAAGAGCAAATACTTCATATAACAGACTCCCGAGGCGATGTTTCCTCAAACTCTACATTGTTAATCTCTTCTATTCTAGAGTCAACCGTTATCTTACTATATATATTCTGCACTTAGCAATCGCAAGGATAATCTCTTCTGCGTCCATACAACAACCTCATCTAGTAAACCTCTATCTTTGTGACTCTTGGGCCTTGTATCGGGTGAACTTTATCCTGAATTCAAAACCATGCAGGGAAATCATTCTACTGGTTTTCACAAGAAGTTAACGTATAGCGAGAAAGTTATCTATGAAGGGTAATTATCGCTTAAGTTCGGAAAGGACATGATTTTAAAAAATGCTATCTGGTGGCTTTCAGTGGTGATTAGATTATTGTTAATGGTGTAATTTTTATGCTCTTTCCTACTTTTCAGCCTATTGGACCATTTTTGATGTATTGTCTTTCTTTTCTTTTACGATTTCATTTTCTTGAGAAACAAAAAAAAATGCTGCAGGTAATTTGGCACCAGAGCTAAAACCGTTTCTTCGTACGATGTCTCTTTTGCTATCACTTTCACTATTTCTTTCCCGCCTTCATTTTATCTACCAATATATATATATATATATATATATATATATATATATATATATATATATATATATATATATAAAGAAAGAAAGAACAGTAAGATATATAATCCGGTGTTCATATAGATATTTTATTTTTACAAAATAGTGCTAATTTTACAGAGCATTAATATTATAAATTAATTGATTTAAAATATGTTTTTTTTCGCTACACAGTTCTAACCATGTTTCAAAAATGAAAGCTAAAAGCCCCGAATTTAATTTTGTAATTACTTCTCTCTCTCCATTTCTCTCAATAGACTGAAAAGTAGGAAAGAGCATAAAAATTACACCATCAACAATAATCTAATCACCATTGAAAGCCACCAGATAGCATTTTTTAAAAATCATTTTTATCTCTTGCCATTTTCTCTCCTTTTCTCCCCATTTCTGTCTTATCGTAAATACTCTGATTTCTTTTGTCTTTTTATCTCTCTGACTCTTTCCCTCATGTTTTCTTTTTATTTTATGTCTACCATTCTTGTACAGGTTTTCTCTTTTCTCTCTCGTTTCATCGTCCGCTCTCGTTTGACTTCTTTCTCTTTTTGTATTTTTCTATTCATTCTTCGTTTTCCTTTCTCCTCTTTCTTCTTCTCTGTTCATTTTATCCTCTTTCTTTTCCTTTGTTTTGTTTCAGGTTTTTTTTTCTTTCTCTCGTCACTTCTCTTTCTTTTTACTCATGCTCTTTCTTTCCTTCCCTTTTTTCATTCTTTTTCTTCTTCCCATTACATTTGTTTTGTCCAGAATCATTTTTTTCCTTTCCTTTTTCTTCTTTGTTCCGTTTCCCTTTTCTCCAACACCCTCTTTTTATTTGCTTTTTTCTCTTCTTCTTTTTTTTATTTTTCAAATACTCTCCTTTTCTACGTTTTTCTCTTCCTATTTTTTTTTTCATTTTCCCAAATCCTTCCTTATATATATATACTTTATTTTCTCTTCATTCTTCTCTTTTCCTCTTTCCAATTCTTTCCTTTTCTTCGCTTGTACTTTTTACTTCGTTCTCTTTTATTTTCTCTTACTCTATTAATATACGGCTTTCATTTTTCTTCTCTTTTTCTCTTTCATCAAAAATGTATTCTTCTCTTCCCTCCTTTTTTTTCCGATTCTCTTTACTTCTTCATTTCTCTTTACAAATCCTTCTCCTTCTTTTTCTATTTTGCTTCAATTCTCCTAGTTTTATTCGCCTTCTTTTCTCTATATACTTTTCCCTCTCGCTTCATTATATTATCTATTTACATTCTTTTTCTCCCACTCACTCATTCACTCACCCTTTCATTGCTCTTTTTATCCCATTCCTGCTCAATCTTCTCGACCTTTTCTTCCTTTGGTCTTCTCACTTTTTATCTTTCTTTTTCATTGTCTCGTTTTCTATCTGCTTTTCTTATCTCCTCCCATTAATGATTCACTTTCTCTTTACTTTTCTATCACTTTCTCTTTTTCTGTTTCTCTTTCCTCTTTCCATCTTTCTTAACTTTTTCTTCAAATTCTCTTTTCATTTTTTTTCTGTCTGCTTTTTACATTATCGTTATTATTCATCCACTGTCGCATTTTCATCTTCCGCTTTCTCTTTCATTCTCTCTCTATCTATATCTCCTCCCCTCTCTCCCTCCCCCCTCTCTCTCTCTCACACACACACACACGCAGACACGCGCGCACACACACACACACACACACGCACACACGCAGACACGCCCGCACACACACACTCTTTCGGCAATCTTTCTTTTTTCAACTTTTTAATCTGTTTCTCCTCTATTCCATTTTTTACTTTCTCTCAAGTTTTTACTCATCTTTTTTTTTTTGCTTCTTTTCATTTTCTTTCTTTCTTTTGAAACTTTTTTTCACTCTTATACTTTCTTTATCTTTCTTTGTTTTTTGTTTTCCCTGTTTTCTTTCTTTCTTTCTTTCTTTCTTGCACAAGTTTTACTTTTTTTCTTTCTGTCGATTTTTTTCTTTTTCTTTCTTTCTTCATATTTTTTCTTTCCGCTTTTGCTTTTCTTTTTTTCATTCTTTCGATTTTTCTTTTTTCATTCTTCGTTTCTTTCTTTAAATTTCTGTTCTTCCTTCTTTCCTTTCAGTTTTTCTTTCTTTCTTTCTTTATTTCTTTCTTCTGTTTTATTAATTTACTTACTTATCTATTTTCTTTTATTCTTTTATTTTCTTTTTCTTTTATTTCTTTCTCTCTTCCAGTTTTTCTTCCCATCTATCTTCTTCTTTTTTTTTTTCATTTACTCTTTTATCGGTCTGCTTATTTAGACAGGCATGCAAAAGATATTGGGGTTAATCACTTCTGCCTTATTTGCTTCCCGATTAACCTTCTATAAATTGTTTCCCTTCTCAGATACAGTAGTATTTCGTCCAGCGGGAAACCAAATAGGTCGAAAACGAGGCGCGGTTGATCGTATTGCAGTAATCCTTTAAACATCTAAAGCATGTTTGCCTTAAAAATCAACATTCGAAATCTTTGTGTTTTGCTTTGTCTCAAACATCGATCACTGGCACCGTTATGGAAAAATAATCTTACGTTAAAGGTGAATACTTATTTCCATTACATATGAATGACACGCCCACATTTATTTTTATGTCCAGCTTAATGTCTCTCTCTCTTTCTCTCTCTCTCTTTCTCTCTCTCTCTCTCTCTCTCTCTCTCTCTCTCTATCTATCTATCTATCTATCTATCTTTCTCTGTCTTTTCTCATCACTATTTCGGTTTGTTTGATGCCTGACCAGTAACTGACATCATTCCGTTCACCAGAGCCATTATAATTCATTGAAAATGATTCAATCAGAACTTCTACGTTAATTGCTAATCTTCAAAAGCAACGTCAAAAGAAATGTTCTATTAAAACTCGGTAAATCCGTGTCTTTCTTGTCGGCATAGGTCATCCTGACCCAACCTGCTGAACTGAATGCATACCGGCTTCTCTCTCCCTTGTCTGAGATTTACAGATGACACCATTCGGAATTTTTCTCAAGTGACGTCAAGAATTAAAATTCTAATACAGAAAAAGAAAATGATTGTTCTAAATGGCGGATTACACATTTGAATCTTTTCACGAACAAATTCAAAGCCATTTATGCAATTAAAAAATAAAAATAAAAATTGAAATCTTTTTCATTCCATTAAAGAGATAATCTCCAACAGGAAAAGCTAATTTAAACTAATGACTACCATAATGCCAAATGAATGGACGCCTGGTATAGCATCTGACCACTGTGTAGTTGTGTTTTTTAAAGACTTTTTTTTTCGTGTCTCAATTTTTTTCCATTTTTTTCCCCTATCTTTAAATACTTTTATATCCTCTATCTTTAAAAGAGTCAGATCAGACCTAGAGTACTGCTGTCATATTTAGGCGGGAACTCTCCAGTCCTCACTTCCCCATCTCGATTGAATCCAAAAGCATCACTGCTTTCTTGTTGCACCCTTCCCTCACATACGAAATCATACAAAGCCTCTCACTCGTCTACTGCTTCTTCTTCCATGGATTGTGCTCACACGAACTACATTCCTTAGTTTAACCAGTTCTAAACATGAAGGCTAGGATTCGCCATGCTTCGCACATTGTAGTAACCTACCCTCATTCCCTCTATATTCAAATAGTAAGTAGTAAGTTTCACTCGAGTAGGTTCTTCCCGTGAACCAATGTTTTGTGGAAACGATTCCCAAGAGGATGTTTTCACGATCAATAAAATCTAAATCGGTATAAGTTTAGAGTTATCCTTTATCTTCCCAAATATACCCACATAACCTGCGCCTCTAACTCTGTAACCATCTACCTTGAGTGGCTCCCGGGCCTTGTACAAAGTGAACCTCACTGTAAAAAAAAAAGCGAATCTTTCTGTTTATTTACTATTTTATTTTCCGCCTTCTATAGCAATGATACTTAACCGTTTGCAGCCAACGAATTGTAATTTCTGCATTTTAAGTATATGATTTTACTCTTTGGGTCTCTTGTTATATACCAGCCTTATTTTTCCTCACACAGTTCTTCTTCTTCTTCTTCTTCTTCTTCTTCTTCTTCTTCTTCTTCTTCTTCTTCTCATTATCATTATTATTATTATTATTATTATTATTATTATTATTATTATTATTATTATGAGTAGTAGTAGTAGTATAAAAACACACCTCGCCTAAAAGCTTAACTGTTCAACGACCCCTAAACTTAAGGCTAGGTATAAAATTTCATAAAATAAAAAATTTAAAAACCCACGTTGTACGTTGCATGAAAATGTTAAGCGCGATTTTTTTCTTCAAAATAAATAAAAATAATTAAAATAGACAATTTCTTTCGCTACCATATATATTTATATATCTCCCATTCGTCCTTGCTTTGAATATTGCTGCAACTTTTGGTCTGGTACTCCCGCTATATATTTAAAGATTCTTGATAAAAAAAAAAATCTGCATTGTTATTGGTCCTTACATTTCATCTCAGTTTAAGTCCCTTTCTCACCGCGGTAATTTAGCTTCCCCTGTGCCTTCTCTATAAATACTTTTATTGGAGTTGTTCTGATTTACTTTCCGCTGTAGTACCTAGACTTAATGAAATTAAGCCTAGTACTAGATTGGTGGTAAGATCTCATCATTTTACATATGAAATAGCTAGATGTAACCGTATGTTCTATACTAGCAATTTCTTCTATCTCAATTCCCGCTTATTGAACTTCCTTCCGGCTTCTTGCTTCCCAGTCAACAGTCGTCTGAGCGTAGCGTGATCGTTAAGAGAAGTGTTGGTGTCATTGGAAAATTAATTACTAACAAGAGGAAATTTCAGTATGAAAAGGTGATAATACAATATGACGTTTCGATTAGGATTAAAATTAATGAGATACTTGGCCCTTAGTTGTTAGATCGATATCTTTAATTTTTTGTCGGTGTTAATTTCTCACCATGCAAATAGTTATCAATTAATCATGTTCATTTTTGTTTTCATGATTGAAAATCCTTTTGTAACGGTTTTAATCACTGCGAAATATGGTCAGTATTTTCTTTTTGTATTATTATTTCTATTGTTATACTATGTCTTCAAGACGTAACGACCATGACTCTTTCCATTTTCCGTTTTTTATTATTATTATCATTTTTATTTTCCTTGATTTCTGGCGTTTACACATTTCTTTCCGGGTCCCGCCCAGGGACCTAAGGTTAGAAATGGCGTCATGACACTTTCCACTGACAAAAAAAAAAAAAAAAAAATTACATAGATAAAGCCCTTCGTAAGGTGTGGGCTGTACTTGTCAAAACAATTTTTTGTATCTCCTTGAGGCATGAACTTCCAGGAATCCCTTCAATTAGTCTACTGCAATCTTTTCCAACCAGTCCTAGGGCTCCAACTACAACAGGGATTGTTGATGTTCCCATATGCCACATTTTCGAGATTTCTATTTCAAGGTCCTTGTACTTTGACAACTTTTTGAATATCTTCAAAGATACATTGCAGTCAGCAGGGACTGCCATATCAATAAGGAGGCATCGTTTTTGTTTGTGGTCTTTAATAACAATATCTGGCCGGTTGGCCTTGATTGTTCTGTCAGTGTGTATTGTGTAATCCCATAGAATTGTAACAGGTCCTATCTCCGTAACCGGGTCTGGGTGGTGTTCATACCAGTTTCTTTCAGTTTCCTTCTCGTAGAAGTTGCAGATTTTCCAGTGCAGATATTGGCCCACTCTGTCATGTCGGGTTTTATATTTAGTGGGTGCCAACACCGTACAACCTGATACAAGATGATCAATTGTTTCTGGATATTTATCACAGAATCTGCATTTTGGGCTGACACAATATTTTAGTATATGTGCTTGATAATTCCTAGTTAGCAAGCATTGGTCCTGCGCAGCAAGGATAAAACCTTCAGTTTCCGCTTTCAACCCTGTACTACGTAATTATTATTATTGTTATTATTATTATTATTATTATTATTATTATTATTATCTTGGAATTACTATGCGTTTTCCGGAAAGATATGTGAATGGTTTTCAGTTGACTTTACGGTTTTGATATAAACTGCTTTCTTTCCATTAGACAGGTTGCAACCCGAGGTTACAGAGTCCAGTCTACCTTGTTATTTAATCCATCGTTGGGGAAAAAATATTCGAGTCATAGCTTTCCCGGTGGTATTTTTTCACCAGAATTTGAACACGGTTCCCCAGTACAACTTACCACACAGAGTACAGGTACATAACGAAAACACTACAAGATTTCTTTTACAGAATTTATGTATATGTCCACTAGGAAAGCTCGATTTTGGAATCATTTTATTGCACCCTATTTAAAAATTGTGGTTTGACATGATATATAACACAAAATATTCTTTTTTTAAAACCATTACCGTTTTTCGAGGAAATGAATATAAAAGATTAACACCAAGTTCAAAATCGTAGCGTTGGAATCTTATTCCGATAATCAGTGAAAGCCTTATAGCACAGCCTTATATAATGTATTATTTACTGTCATGGTTCCTTACCTATAACTACAGAATGAACATTCCTAACACTATGTATACTACGCCTCTCAAGAGAGAGGGTCGAATCGAGTCAAGCCGTTTCGGTTTGACGGTCGAACTCTCTGCCTCTGAGCAGAGAGGAACCCGGACGATGCACCGCCGAAGGGCAGAGCCTCATTCGGGGAGGTTGACCAACCCGATTCTGTTTTTACAGTTTCTACGGGCATTTTTTGGCCGAGCCTACGGGCTTGGGAAACCCACGTTAAACTCGGCCTTGTGCCATATGCAACCCTGGGTGGGGGGCTAGATATCGAATCGAGTCGAGCCGATAGTAGTTCACTCCAAACCAGACTGACAGTCATACTAACACCTTCCACATCTTGTATTATTATTTCGTGTAATATACCTTCGTTATTTCTACTCTTGTGTTCGTGTTGTCCTTCCTTGGTCCTAACCTGGACCATAATATTTACTGAAGCTTTTCAAATTGTATATAACAAATTGTATGATGCATGGCAAAAAGCAAATTATATGATGCATAGCATTATTACTTAATCCGTTTGCAATCAAATAAGATCTTCATATACTTCAAAGGCATATTATACTGAATAATTTAGCTATATAATGATGTAATATGTTATACAGTGCAGTAGGTCTAGCGTGCTTTTCAATAAACAATGCAAATTTAAAACATGTTGTCTTATAATTTGTGCTCTAGTCGTATTATGGTGTTGCATACTCTTTTATCTATTTTAGTTTTTATTAATTATTATCTATCTATGATCTATTGATTATGATCTATCAAATGATCTAAAAAATCTTATTCATTGAGTGGCTTTTTTAGAACCTTTTACAATTTTTAATAGTACTAAAAAGGATTTTCCCCACTGGAATGGAAGTAAATTATTTCGAATTGGGCACGTGTCGTTTCTCCTAAAAGAATGCAACAGACAATCGTCAAACAAAATATATTTATCTTCGCAAAATGCAGTGAGATTTGGCTAACTGAAAACCAAAGAAAGGACCAATGCATACTTATCCTGTCTTTATGAGGTTTTATTTTTTTCACTTTCCAATTTACAAACACACACTCATATATATATATATATATATATGTGTGTGTGTGTGTGTGTGTGTGTGTGTGTGTGTGTGTGTGTGTGTGTTTCTAATGATAAAGGAGCTCCAATTTTGAATCTTGAAAAATGGCATCCAATCTGTGGTTAACTGGGGCTTGTAAATTTTAATGCCCCCAAAACGAAAATGCTCTCATTCAACTGTCATCGAGAATTTTT